CCCCCCCCAGCCATGCTTAGTGTCGTCCCGCAACGCTCCCTCCCCACTAGATAAAATCCCCAACCCGGCACAGTAAGCCGTTGAAATATTGCGAATCGCATGGCAGTAATGAGCACTACACTTGTCATATGTACCTGGTCCTGACGACTTTGCTCTACAGCCATTTGTTCGTCCATGATTTGTCTGAGATCTGAAAAAGAGACACATAACGCGTCATCTGATTGGATAGATATATCCAATACCGTAACATATATCTATCTAAATACTGCAAGTTTCAGAACAGACTAGCTAGTCTGTTACACAATTCTTTTTTATTCGCCTTGCCAATTTATGGAATGCTATACCTGGTTTTAATTTTAAAAATACTTTTTCTTCTTTTAAAATTGGGTTAGTTATTTTTCTTTAAGGTTGCTAACAACAAATTCAAAGCGAATTTCGCACAACTGTATTCTCTGATGTATGAAGTTTGAAGAAACGCGGGATACGTGATATTCAAGGAAACTCTCACTTTGAGGTCTCCAACGACCTTATACGCCAACCACTTAGAAAATATGAAAATACACTGTTAGAATTTAGGAGATTTAATTTGTGATATATGAAAAATCCAGATTTGCTATGAATTAGTTGGGATCCAACTAACTAACGAACGAACGAACGAACGAATGAGTAGCTTATAGGTAACCAAAGCCATGACTTGTACAAACCAGTTGCTTTGCTGTCTTCTAATCTTTGACTAGAATCTTCCTTGTTCACAGTTCTTGATACATGAGGCTGTTTTTCTACGTTATTTGAACAAATAGCATTTATAATAAGAAAGATAAAAAGATTAAGGAAGAAGAGAAGGACAAAGGAGGAATCAGTTTTACCTGTATATGATAACTTCTCTTTGATATTATTCTGTCAATGAAAAACGAAGAAACGACTTTAAGGTCGGTAAAACAGCATTCTGATAGCATTCAAATTGGAAGTATAAACCTTGATATTTCCTAGATACATTACTCATATGAAAATATTTTCCCATTCAGCCATTCACTTAATGTAGAATTATAATGTATAATACCTGGATAGTTTTTTGCCACTGGTTATACAAAAGCTTAGCAAATTCAGAGTCAACCTGCACTATCAAATCGTTGGACGAAAAATCACCTAAAAAGAAAAATCAATCCAATTGGGTTTGCGATAGAGAGAGATTGATAGCACCTTAAGGTAAGATAGTTAACATTTCTTACATAGGTTATCATCAATATGTACATCACATTACAGATTTTGATCTTGATACACAGCAAGGTGTTTAGAAGAAGTTACCCTTTTAACCTCTTGATCCATGATTATGACATGGGCAAAAATACCCAAAATTGAAAGATTAAAATGAGATCCAATTAACATGTTTTCTGACTTAACTACAATCAAAAAGAGAAAGAGAGGGGGGAGGGGGTCAATTTACATGTTTTCTGACTTAACTACAATCAAAAAGAGAGAGAGAGAGGGGGGGAAGGGGGGTCAATTTACACGTTTTCTGACTTAACTAAAATCAAAGAGAGAGAGTCAGCCCGGATAGGGAAAAACTGCGCCTTCAAGACCTCGGGTACAGTTCTTCCCTATCCTTACTTCATGGCCTGATTCTTAAAATTGTCTACAATCTTTGGCTAAAACATGAAGTAATGCAAAAGAAATTCCACAAATGCCATCGAGGAAAAGTGAGATTTCTTTTGTATTTTCGTGTTAGCCTCGCATCCAAGTTCTTTTTGAGAAGTGTTCATTTTTACTCGAACACAATTTCGAGCAGCTCAGTAATCACGTGCTGATCAATTCACTGAGAGCAAATGAATGAACATCTTGATTCCCATGGGTGAAATATACTGGTGAGCAAACAAACTTTCTACAACCTGTTTCGAAAGATCGTATTAAAACTGCATTTCGTAACACACTGATTACACATCGTTTCATTCAGTTCTTTACAAGTAGCTAAAAAGAATCACCAATTAAAAATAAAAACAAAAATTTTGCTCACCAGTACAGACACGTGACCGTTAACTGCAAAGGGCCTATTAAGTTGCTCGATTTTTTGTGTATTATAACAAAAAATCACACCATCCTCTTGTACAATTCGAAATTGATAGATACACTGTACTCGTGGTGTTTTGAAACTTCTCAAATTGGACTCGCCTCAAGGCTTGTCTAACTTTGAAGACTTTCAAAATATTACTCGTACCTATCAATTTCGAATCGTGCTTGAGATCGTGCGATTTCCTTTACTTAGCCAAAACGCCGATTCTTCCTCAAACCCATCACGAGAACGCCTACTCTGCAGGCTACGTTTACTAATTACACTTGCCTTCCAAACTGACAGTATCTATTGGTCCAAATAACTCTAATAACTGAATCGCTACTGCAGGCTCTAACGTCATTTGAAAATGACCGGGATCTTGTCCAACATGAGGAAGATAATTTGCGCTCTTCAATGAAGGAAGTGGTTTTGATGCCCGAAATTCTTGGAAATGGTAACCTTGTAGTGGCTTCAAACCTTGATCAAGTGCAGTATAAGCAGACGTTTTTTGACAGGAAGATGTTTTCAAAGAATTTTTTCCTGGTGAGCTGATATTGGACGTATCGTGTTTTCGACTTTCGACCTCCGAACTGTTATCTTCATGGCGAAGAATACTTTCTACAGCCTTGGTTACGTCTCCTTGTTTGTTAGCAAGAACATCGACTAGAAGTTGAATATCCATGTCAGGAAAACAAGTATTCAAGAACTGAAAACCACTTAGCTCTGATTCGCTTAGATCATTCTTGAAGTTTTCAAGTGAGTTTTCCTTTTCAGTACCTGTATTTTTAAAACGTTCATACCTGTCATTTGTTTTGGCTAAGTAGTGTTCTGCTTTTTCATGCGTTTCTTCATCTGTATCATTTTCACTTTCAATTTTTGTAATCTCTTTAGCAAAATAGTTTTCCGAACAAAATTCTTTCGTGTTTGTTTCAACAGTCATTGACTCATCAGTAGTTATTAATGGGTTTATGGGAAGGGAAGATCCAGTATTTTCCATCTCCTTCTTAAGAGAAAGGGTATTTTCGCTATTAAGTACTCCTGCTATTGACTTCTGTACATTATCGTCGACACTTTCTTCTTCCTCAGACATGAACGACACAGGCCTTGCGTTCTCGCTTTTTGCTTCTTTGGAGTCCAAGACTTTGTTAGGGTTTTCCTTGACGTCTTCGCTATTTTGCATTCTTTCAAGTGATTTCGACGCCCTTTCTCTTCTCTTTGGGGTTCGCTGTGGTTTTGGCAATAAAGTCTCTTCAAAATCCCCTTCATTATTAACATTACTGACTTTACTGAAGCTTTTGTTTATTTCTAAAGATTGGTCGGCATGAGAGAGTTCAGATAGAGAGAAATCGATATCTTGTATGGGTGATCGACTACCATGACTTCGTAAAGTTTCCATTTCTTGTGGAACTCTCGTGGGCTTGATGCATTCACTGTTATGTTTACGTGTCTCGTCTTTATTTGAATTACACGTTTCAATCTTAGGATTATCTTTTTCTAGCTTTTCCCAACTGGTGGCCAAAATTGCTTCCACCGTCAAATCTTTTTCATATCTTTCTTTCATGTTTTGGATGCTGAACAAGGTGACATTATGTCGATTACGCCTAAATACATGGAAATTGTTTTTAAACAAAAGGAATGAATGAAAATGTAATTTTATGAAATTTCATAAAATTTGTCTAGGTTTCAAAGTCAAGTCAAGGCAAGTCAAGTCAAGTCAAGTCAAGCCAAGTCAAGTCAAGTCAAGTCAAGCCA